TACAGATACCACAAATTAAAACCAAAGAAGCAATTATATTTCCCTATAATCCTGCTAATATAACTATAAAACATTAATATTTCATAGCTGTGTTTATGGAAGTAACTATCTGACTCATAATTTTATTTTGATATGCCTTTTCTTATCCTCACGGCACATATAAAATATTTTCCCCAGGCTCAATAATATATGGACTGACTGTACACTTAGAATTTCATACTCATAAAATAAATTGTGATATTTTATTGCATTTAAATGATGTGGCATAAAATGGGTTGACATCATTATAAGGAACAAAACCCCAGGGAACTTATTAACAGTTTAATGCTTCTGTTCCTTATGGAAATGTTCATTACATTTACTGATGAGAAGTACAGAAATGATGTTGGCTAATATTAGAGTGTCTCTCTAGAGACATGACAGGGGAGATATGACCAAAATGAAGATCATTTGAAGAGATTCTGAGGGTCTCAGGGGGCTGCAAGCTCAATATGTTTCAACACTGTTACAAGACAGTCAAAAACCCTAATGCTCTCCTAGGCTACCTGGAAATAAGCCTAATGGTTAGGTCATGGAAAGTGCTAGTCTTATTGTACTCTAGCTGGGTCAGACTTCCTGCAGAGTGTTCTTGTTCAGTCCTAGACACAACATTTTAGGATGACTGTTGACAAGCAGGAGAGTTTGGAGTGGGTGACCAGAGTGGTGAGAAGAGTCGCACTTTGGAAGGAACTGAAGACTGAAGAGGGATATGGTAGCTGACCATGAGTATTTGAAGTGCTGTCACATGGAAGAGAGATTTGACTTGTTCTTCATGGCCTTAGAAGGCAGAATTAGGATCAAATCGCAAAAAGGCAGATTTAGGTTTGATACAAGAGAAGCTTCCTAACCATAAGAGCTGTCCTAGGTGGAATGGGCTGCCTTGGAAGATCATGGGTTTTCTACTCAGTGAAGGTCTTCAAAGGATGGATGATTACATATGTGGTGGAGGGCATTTTTAAAAAATCCCAGTACAGGTTGCTTTAGATGGTCTCTGAGGTTTTTTGGAATCCTGAAATTCCGTGATAATGATGCAGAAAAATTTAGCACAAGAGGTAAGGGTTGTGCTCATGTAGGTTGGATATTTTGATCTGAGTAGCAATTGAGTTGGTCAGTGGTACTCATGGAGTAAGAATTACAACAATGTGTAAGAGTTACCACAGGGGTGACGATCATTTGTTCCAAAGTGTATTGAAATTTGATTGTGTGGAAAAGATAATTTATACGCCTACCTCTGTGAATAATTGTGAAACAGTAATTGAACAAATACTGAGTACCTACCATGCAATGAATTATGAAGATATATAAGACAGCCATTTCTGTATGGGAGCTTCTAGTTGAATTAGAAAGATAAGAAAGACAGATAATGAAACACAAGAGAAATTCCGTTGTAGTGGATAGATACCCGGTGTTACAAGAGGAAGGTATCGTGGTGGATGGGCTGAGCACTGGACTACAAATTAGGGGAAATGGGTACTAAATGTCTCCTGGCCTTAAATGGACTACTTTCCATCCCTGAGACTCAGTTACCTATTTGTAGAATGAGCTCTTTGACTCTGATCTTTAGATCCCTTCCTTCTCTAATACTTTGTGATTCTATGATTTTGGGGGAAGGAAAATATTTTCTGTTTCATTTGCTCAAGAAAGACTTAAAGAATATGGTGGGATTTGAGCTGGACTTGGAAGGATCAGTCAGATTTCATTGAGGCAGATAATAGTTTTGGAATCAAAATGATAGAGAAAATTCCAAATACTGGGGAATTAGTATAGAGAGAAGCTTAGGAGCAGGAATATATGAAGGGTGTTTGGGAGATGGTGAATAAACTGCTTGCCTGGTCTGTTTAGAATCCTTATTCCAATCTTGAGTAAAAATGAAATATTTTAGTGAATAAAATTGCAACCTCAGCATTGAGAAGGAAATAAAAATATTAAAATACAGCTTATGCTAGGAAAAATGTGTGCATTTAGACAAAAATTATAATTTGAATGGCAAGGCTTGACAAAAAAATAGCTATACACTTAGGAGCTATGCCTTACTTATAGACTTTTAAAAAGTTAGGATATTGTTCCTGCCCTCCTTTCTCCTCCCCTCTCTTTCTCTCTCCTCCCCTCCTTTCCTCTCTCTTCCTCTTCCTTCTCATCTCTCTTTTCCTCTCTTCCTCTCTCTTAATCACTCCTAGATTGGAGATGGAGGGAGAATTCTTATATCTCCCTGAACAGGGGCTTACACTTTCACTATGGAGTAGAAATTATTGCTGTGAGAAAGTAGATCCCGGTGACACTGACGACTCCCACAAGGACCTGCCATTGGCTGATCGTTTTGGAGGTGTGTTTTCTTCCCCTGTTAACACTACAGAGCCGGCTGTGGGGGAGGTGAAGCATCTGTTCTAGGACTCTTTATTGGGTAAATATGGAATTCAAGCTAGAGAGGGAGAGAGGAATGTTACAATTGTAAGATCCTCACCCTCTCCCAAATATTTCCCCATCTCTACCTAAATATAAGGATCTGAGCCGATTTGATAACATCCTTTAAGGTTTACAAAGTGCTTCTCTTGCAACAACTTGGGACTTAATCACTAATAATAGCAGTAGCCTAGCATTTATGTTGGGCAGCTAGGTGGATAGAATGCTGGGCCTGGAGACTCATCTTCGGCCTCCGGCACTTATTAGATGTTTGACCCTGGGCAAGTCACTTCACCCTGTTGGCCTCAGTTTCTTCATCTGTAAATAAGCTGGAGAAGGAAATGGCAAACCACTCTGGTACCTTTGCTAAGAAAATCCCAAGTGGGGTCATGAAGTGTCGGCCATGCCTGAGCAACAATAGCAACATTTATGTAACACTTTAAGATCTGCCTTATATATTATTTCCTTTGATCCTTGCAGTAATACCATGAGGTAGGAGCTGTAATTATCCCCATTTTATGAATGAGGAAACTGAGGCAGAGATTAAAGGATTTGTTCAGTCACATGGCTAGTGAGATTTGAACTAAGGTCATTCTGATTCGAAGTCCAACATTTTATCCACTGTGCCACCTACCCACTGTTCTGAGCTGGGAGCGTTTCTAACTTTAGCCCTAATTGAGGGACTTTATTTATAGTATCCTTGTGGGAGTCCAGAGAACCTCTATACTTCTCTGGCCCTAGCCCATCTTGTGCCAGGCCTTCTCTACCCTAGCCCTGCCCTCTGTTCTTGACTGACATCCTTGGCCTTGGTCCTTTTCTGGAATCCTCTATATTTCCTTGATAGAATCTTTTCTACTGGAAGATTCTAGCCCCACACTGTACTTAGTAGGGCCACTGAGAAAATCCCTGGGGTCCTGCTACTTGTGCTGTCAGAGACAGAAAAGTAACTTGATGTGGCCAAGGAAGAATTTGGCACTGGCCCTCATTCTCCTGGAAGAGCAGAGGGGTTTGGATATCAGCACTTAGACATCCCCATGCAAGGTTAACGCTTGGTGTTACGTATCCCAAGTTTGGGAGGTAGTTTTTCCTAAGATCACGGATTCCCTGGTTCCTTTTACTGTGGCCAGAAAATCATTGCATCTGATGCCACTCTGTAGAATGATGGAGAGCCTGGCAGTGTCCTTATCTTTGGGGTATCTGATATCCAGACATATGCATTACTAGAACCTTCTGTTGTCCCTTTTCACTGCTCCTCCTGACCCAGCCCCTGCATGTCTTGAGGGAGGCCTCAGATCTTCTGGTGTGTGAATGATGCCTATGAAAAAGGTCTGCTACTTTGAACATTCTCACCCGGCCTGCTTCTGCTGTGAAAGCTTGTGGGCTGGTCACCTTCATCTCCCCAAAGCAGTTGTGATGGAGCAGGGCAGTGCTTCAATTCTCAATTTAGAGGTCATTTGCCATCACCCTAATCTTTAGTGTTCTCTCTTTCCCCAAAGGATCATGCAGTATTTAGCTGCGTAAGTGTTATAGTCCTCCACCAAAACAGAAGACCCTTGAAGGTGGGGAGAGTTTTCATTCTCTCTCTGTCTCTCTCAGCATGTAGGTATCAAAAGTTCTTAAGGTGTTTTGTGAAGCTTATGAACCCTTATTCTGAATAATGTTTTGAAGAGCATAAGACAAAATATGTAGGATTACAAAGGAAACCAATCATATTGAAATACAATTAATAAGATATGAGGTGTTCCAAAAGAGTATGTGAAGTTCTAAGATACTAAAGCTTAAAACTACACTGAGACTTTGGTGATACTTTGTATTTAAAAAAAAACCCCATACACCCCAGTTTAAGAACCCTCTGTGTTCTCTCTGACTCTTTCTGTCTCTCCCTCATCCCAAATGTGTGTGTATACATATATTTTTCGCTTGGTTCTTACTGCGGGTCTCTTCCACAGACACGGACGGCAACTTGCCTGTAACTTGCTCAGAGCCATAGAGGCCTGATGGGCAGTGGGAGGTAAGGTCACTTGCATATGTCAGAGGCAGGACTTGAACCCAGCTCTTGCTGATTCCATTGCAATAAGTGTCTGGTAAATGCCTAGGAAGACAGGGTTATTGCCTTAGAGCTGGAGGAGACCTCATGAACCACTTAGTCTAATCCCTTATTTGATAGGGTTCTAGTGTGAGGACTATTCTCTGGGCTCTGCATTGGGCTGGAGGCCCAATGTTAAGTCAGTTGTCAATTTGTGCTGCTCTGGGTTTGGGAGTCAGAAACCCCAGGTTCAATTCCCATCTCTACTACTGATTGTTGGGGCGATCTTGGGCAGGTCATTTCCCAACTTTAGGTCTCAGTTTCCTCATCTGTACAGTGAAGAGGAGTTTGGATTAGATCTTCCAGTACTGAATTCTATTAAGAGAAATTTAATGGAGCCCACATGTTTCAGATGTAAGAAAGTAAGCCAGAGAGGATGGGATCAGAGAAAACCATACGCGTTACAAGTTACTCAAAGCAAAAAGAACAAAATGCAAATCAAAATGGTAATGCAAAAATAACAAAAACAACAACAGCAACTAAACTAACTTTTATTTTTCAAAAAACAATACATCTATGTTCAGATCTGGGTCATCTTCAATACATGCTCGTATTTTTGACAAATACAAAAATCCTTCGAACACAAAACATTTTACTTTCCAGAGCTCTTCCAAATAAATAATTTCTTCCTGATATGTCAGAATTGTCCAAATATTGTTCGAACGCTATTTACATCTCCCCTTCCATCAATACTAGTGCATGTCAGTAAAGGAAAAAAAAATGGTACAAAGCTTACTCTTTGGCATTCACATTTGAGTCAGCAATACAATCAGAAACTCGTGATAAACATTCCAAGATGATTTAATAAATCTCATTGCCACTCTGCAAAGGAGCCATGGTATTAAAGCTTTCAGTTGGAGCCTTAGGCTTCCCGCTGTGAGAATATTACTTCCAGTCTATTTATCAGCTTGTCCTCCTATGGCCCCCAAAACATGCTTTTCTTGCTCTACTGAGTGATAGCATAACAAGAAAGCAATTTGCTTTTTTTTAAATTAAATTTTATTTATTTAGTATCATGCAAAGCAAGACAGCTTTGGAAGACATGGTAGCTGCATCGGCTTTGATCAGATTTCGTCTCTTGCAATCACAGTTACTTTGAATGAAAATAACTCCATGATTCTGGGAAACCATCACTGTTGATTTTAAACCACCATAACCCTAGTGTTGGTCATGCTTTTGGGGGAAAAGATCACACAAGCCATTTTCTATAAAGGTACAGTTGCCTCAAACCCTTCTTGTATATTTGAGGGCAAACCATTGGAGGAAATGGGCAGCTTCCCAGAAGATGCTGCCTTGAGGTATTCCTGTAATTGGGTTCACATCTGTCATACACTGCCAAACAGAATAGAGAACATATATTCTGCAGCACTCCTTACAGAAATATCATTTACCCTTCTCTCTTGGGTACCCAAATGCCCCTCTTTCCTATGGTCTTCATAAATGCCTGTCACTGTTGCTTACCAGACAGATAAGAAATTGTTCTGATAGAAAATAGGCTTGAAATCAAGGGTCTGAGGAGCAGACAGTTCTAATGTTTTGTGAGAAAGTGTAGGATGTAAAAAGTATTTGTCTTATGGAGAAATTGCATTGTGGGTAATTTGGTGCATATTGTGATCAGTGAATAATCTTTTCAAACCCAAAAGTGTTGAGTAGTGCATAGATAAGAGTCTGTTTTTCAGGTCAGATGTTTCAAAAGGATGCGACGTTCACACAAACCAGAAATGCCTAAGCAGCAATATCATTATGTAATAGAACTTCACAGAGTGCAGAGGCCCTTCCCTATGTGTGTCTAGCAATTTCAGTTAGAGACAGAAGCAGTACTTTGGTCTCCAAATATTTCTGAGAAGAACTCCCAAGCCAGGCGTATGTGGATGGGGATGAAGACATAGGCGGTGTATACCACCATTCCCACGATGGTGAGCAAAATGGTGTTGAACATGGATCGCTCCCAGGGCTCCAAGACAGCACAGCAGCTGATGAGGGTGTACTGGTAATAGAGCCAGGCAAAGTAATCCTTCACGTACCTTAGATTCATCATGTCGGCCAGCGGCATTCAATTGGACCTGTGACGGAAGGACACAGCTTAGAAGAGTACAGGTTTGACAACCAAAACACGAGATTCCCAGATTGCCAGGCTAGATCTAGTCAAATTAACACCCCATCAGGTCTGCGATTGCATCTGTGGGGCCATACACTCCATAGACAGTCTTACTCCATGCATTATTTTGGCTCAAAGAATCCACTCAATGGGCTAGATTGGAGCCTTTCTCTGGTTCTTTCAAGATGAAAAATTAAGGTGTGATTTTGACAGGGAATTCAGTGCATTGGAGATCCTTGGTTTGTATTAGGGATAGGAAGAAAAGGAAAGAGACTGTGAAAATCTTTATATAAGAAGGTCCTCTGTTAATACACTTGTAAACTTTTAAGGTTCAATTTATTGAACTATGTCAGAAACGAAAGGCTTGCTGGATGTTTAAAAACACATAGACACAGAGATACTTGCAGAAAAAGGTGAAAATCAATTTCTGTTTCTCAACAGAGGAAATCCTCGTAGAAGATTCACATTCTGTGAATGAGGCCCAGCAGGAAAAACTCTGGGCAAGGCCCATTACAGAACATTTATGAGCGACATAAACTAATAGTCTCTCTGGCCTTCTAAGAAAGCAACATTTACACTATTCCAAACGTGAAAGGATTTGTCTTGTCTTTTAAAAAATCCTAGTAATCGATTGCCAACCAATTAATGAGTCAACAAGCATATATTAGGCAGCTACTGTATGCCAGATTCCATGTGTTGTATCCCTGGAGATATGAGAATGAAACAAGGAGCAAGGTGGTGCGATGCATAAAGCCTTAGACCTGGAGTCAGGAAGACCGAATTCAAATCCAGACGCAGACATTCACTGGGCTGTGTGATTCCCATCTTCCACATCTACCAGATTCGAATAATAATATCACCCACATCCCAGGGTTGTTGAGAAGACAAAATGAGATATTTGTACAGCGCTTTGTAATCTTGGGCAGCTAGGTGGTGCTGCAGCAGATAGAACTCTAGGCTTGGAATCAGAAGACTCATTTTCCTGAGTTGAAATCTGGCCTCAGGCACTTATTAGCTGTGCAGCCCTGGGCAAGTCACTTCACCCTGTTTGCCTCAGTTTCCTCATCTGTAAAATGAGTTGGAAAAGGAAATGGCAAACCGCTCCAGTGTCTTTGCCAAGAAAACCCCAAATGGGGTCACAAAGAGTCAGATACACTAAAATGATACAACTGCAAATCTTGAAGCGCTGTGTAAATGCTAGCTATCATAAGGAAGATGAGTACACATATAAACAGAATAAATAAAAATAAATAAATACAGATAAATAAAGTTCAATACAAGGTAGTTTGGGAGGAAGGACACTAGTGTTTGGAGGCGGTGCTTCAGTGGTATCTTGAAAAAAAGCAAGTGATTTTATGCATCGGAGATGAGGAGCAAGTGTATTCCAGGTAAGGGACATGACCATGCAAAAGCAGAGCCATGGGAGATGGAGATTGTGTGGGAGGCATAGAGAGAAAGCTGGTCTGGCTGCATTGCAGAGTGCAGGATGGGAAGCAGCATCTAATGAGGCTGGAAAGTTAGGTCGGGGCTGGGTTGTTACCATAGAGGTAATAGGGAGCCATTGGAGTTTATGGAGGACCCTCTCTCTCATATGACCTTGAATTTAACTCTCTCATTTTTGCTTGTATTTTATTCTTTTTATTTAGAGATCAACAAATCTAAGCCCCTTATTTTACAGGTGAGGAAACTGAGACCCTGTGCCCAGGGTCACATAGCTAGTAAGTTTCAAAGGGGGACTTGACCCAGGTCTTCCTGACTCCAGGCCCAGAGGTCTATCCACAGTCTTTCCCAGGTGAAAGAGGGGTGCTAAGTCAGTGCTTCTGAGGATTCCTTCACCTGCTCCTTTCAAAGTGGGACAGCTGGTAGGAAGGTTCCCCAGGGGAAGGGAGGGACTTTGTATCTAGTAGTTCAGGGCCTGGCTTTGTTTGGACTTGACTCAGACAGGAAGTCAGAAGGGGCTGCTTTGTAGTAAGCAAAGAGGAAAAAAAGTTCCTGATAACACCACCCGTGAGTCACCAAGTAGGGAGGAGTCCAGAACTGCGGAAATACCCTGCTCAGAACCTCCCCAGCCTTCAGTCAGCCTGGGGTTGGGGCTTGGAGCCTCTTAGCTTCCTGTTCCTCTTCCTGTAAGGACCTGGGCAGCACAGCCATGAGCAATTCCCTCGGGAGAGAGGCATTCTAAAGGTTTCTGTGGGGCACAATTTTGCCTTTAGAAATGTTCCAGAGGGCTAAGCTGTTTTCTCAGGCAAAAAGAAAAAAAAGAATCCTCCAAATTTCAGGACTCTCCTAACAATGGATTCTACTCTTTGAAACAGACAGATAAAAGCATATTTTTTTCTTCCCGAGAGAAGAAAATTGTTTCAATCTGGCCTCTCGGAATCCAGGCGGTTGGTTAGTGGCCACGATGGAAGAGTTAGGCTGGCAGAGATCTGGGCTGGGTGCCTCTTCTGACAGCACAAAAATCCTCTGACAATCACTTTCATGGGCTTCAGATTTATCACATTAAAAACACAGAAATGGAAACAGTCGCCTGCCTGTGACACAGAGAGGTTGAGTTATCTAAGGAGAGACATCACGTCTGTCATTTCATAGCAGCTTTCTTTGGAGAGCTGGAAATAGAATACTCAGATGTGTAACTAGGGTGGGGTCGTGAGGCTTTGAACCATGGTGCTGAATTTAGAGTGCACTGAATTTAGAAGGCACCAAATTTAGAGGGAAGGCAACTTGGTGGTACGGTAGATAGAGTTCTGGGCCTGTAATCAGGAAGACCAGAGTTTCAATCTGGCCTCAGATGCATACTAGCTGTGACTCTGGGCAAGTCATTTAATTCTGCCTCAGTTTCCTCATCTGTAAAATGAACTAGAAAAAGAAATGGCAAACTAGTCCAGTATCTTTGCCAAGATAACTCCAAATGGGATCACGGAGAGTAATACATGACTGAAACAATTGAACAACACCACCAAAATTTAGAGGGCAGTGACGGTAGCATTTTAAAGAAAGAGCTTAGAATCTAGTTAGCAATGACAATTTTAGACAAAGTAGGAAGCTAGCAGATCATGCGCTTGGGTTGACTCTCTCCAGGCCTCCCTGACTTCTCTTCTCTTCTGCCGAGGGCATGGTTGCAGGTTCCCCACTCCTGGTTTGGGGTATTCGCTCCAGGTACGCAAATTCCTAGTTACAGATTGGAGGTTTGCCCCCAAACATGAAAAAATTTGTGCTGTCTTTTAAAAAAAAATCCTAGTAATTTTGTGTGCCCCATGGGCCTAGCCTAGTGTTATAGGCACAAAATGTTTTATTGATTCAGCACCTGAGACATGGTAGATTTGACTTTGACTTCCCTATTGGTTACCCCATGATTCTATCCTTAACATAACCAGAATCTGCTCTTCATACCTGTCCAAGGAAACTGGAATTGCTAGATTTAATTATCACAGAAACAAAGAATCTCGGGGGTAGAAGGAGATTCCAGCATCATCTGCTTCAACCACTACTTGAAGCCTGAATTTTGCCTGCATTGTCTCCGACAAGTGGCCGTCCAGACTGTGCTGGAAGACCACTAGGGAAGGGGGGTTCTCTGCATCCCATTCTATTGGAGTATGGTTCTGATTATTAGGAAATGCTCCCCTTTGTTGAACTGGAATTTGCCTCCCTGTACTAGAGCTACTGTGACTGGGATTGTATCAACATAGGCACTTGTGAGGAGGGAAGTGCCTCTAACCCATGCAGGGAGGCACCTTTGCTGTGATTTAGAGTTGTAAGGAGATGCAGAGAGGCCTGAGAGGCTGGGCTTGCCCAACTTCACACGGCCAGGATGGAGGCAGGACAGAAACCCTGGTCTTCCTGACTCCAAGACTGTCTTCCTTTAGTCTATGCCTAAGCGCCTTACATAGACTTTAAATGTTTAAAGATGGTGATCCTTGTATAAGAAAATTGCTCATCCCATCAATGTTCTAGTCACTTGAATGATTTGAATCATTACCAATTCTCTCTAGATCTCAGCTTTTTTCATCTGTGAAATGGAGTTTGACTAAATGATCTCTAACCAGGGTTTCTTCCAGCCCTGAATAATATGATTCTATGATCTAGGTAACTATGTGGCATAGTGGATAGAGTGCTGGGCCTGGAGTCAGGAAGACTCATCTTCCTGAGATCAAATACGGCTTCAGACATTTATTAACTCTGTAACCCTGGGCAAGTCACTTCACCCTGTTTGCCTCAGTTTCCTCATCTGTAAAATGAGCTGGAGAAGGAAATGGCAAACCATTCCAATATCTTTGCCAAGAAAACCCCAAATGGGGCCATGAAGAGTCAGACAAGACTGAAATGACTGAACAAAAGCAACGATTTGAGAGAGACAGTGTAATGAATGGATAGAGTTCTGGGCATGGAGTCAGGTAGACCAAGATTTGAATCACATCTTGGATATTTAAAACTAGCTGTTTGATCCAGGGAAATGACCTCCGGGCCTCAGTTTCCATTGCTGTAAGGGATTGGATCCAATGATTTCTTAAGGTCTCTTCTAGCTCTAAATCTGTGGGCCTAGGGACATTTTCTGAAGATGCTGTATCATACCAACTCTTATCCTTAACATAATCCCTAAAACTGAATATGGTACTTTGTATGTGCTCTGGCTGAGGCAGAGCGTTGTGGGATGGCAACCTTCTTCGTTCTGGACATAGTCTTTTATTAATGGAGGCCAGCACTTTCCCTTACGTCTTCCACATCAGACTCTGAAATCATGGATTTGGTGTCCACAGAACCTCCCAGGTTCTTTTCGTATGTTCCTTTTGCCTCCCATATCTCATGTTTGATCTTTTGAACCCAAGCATAAGACTTTCATCTATTCTCATTAAAATTCATCTTGTTAGATTCTGCTGATGTTTCACTTTCTTTAAATCTTTTGGGAATCCTAATTTCATTCATTCATTCATCACAACTCCCTGCTGGGTCCTTGGGATATAAAGA